GCAATGTATTCTTTAGAGTAAGGTTATGAATTTGACAAACATGCAGTTGTACTTGTGAGTACTTGTGTGTGTGTGTGTGTGTGTGTGTGTGTGTGTGTGTGTGTGTGTGTGAGCTTCACTAAGGACAACAAGGTTTAAACAAAGTCAGTGACTGAAGAAAAGGCTTAATGATTAAGAGTACATAATGCTTTTGCAGAGAACTTGACTTTAGTTCCCAACATACATATGAGGTGAAACACTAGTCCCCATGTCTCCTGCTCCATGGGATCTGACATCTTCCTCTTGGGATATTTGCTCTCATAGGCATATATTCACCCCCACAAACACATATAACTTTTTTTTTAAATAAAAAGAGTAAGTTAAAGACTAGCTGATGGAGAATATATAGGCCTTTATAAAGAATTTAAATTATGGTGAAAAAAGAATATTGAAATATTGAACAACTATTTGCAGGGTAGCTAACAACTCTCACTATTTGTTTAAGGGGCCAGACCAATCAGCAACTTCTAAAAATACATTAAATAGAACCCATTTAGGCTTTATCCAGGCATACTGAGCCAGAAATTCTGGGAGAGGGATCAGCTGTCTATGCTCTTAAATCCTTCAGGCAATTTTGATACCCTCTACTGTCTGAAGAACACTATCCTAGAATCTTAGATCTCTCTCTCTCTCTCTCTCTCTCTCTCTCCCTCTCTCAGGATTACATGTGGCTTGGCTTGCAGGTAGGTGAGTCAAATGTGTGGGTGATTGTCAACTTTTGTTAATGGTGAAGTTGACAGGATCTATAATCGTCCAGGAGCAAGCTTCCAGCCACACCTGTGAGGGATTATCTAAGTTAGATTATATGTTTGTAAGGTGTTTCTAGCCAGAGTTTCTATCACTGTGATAAAACACCATGACCAAAAGCATTTTGTAGAGAAAATGGTTTATTTCAGCTTACACTTCCAAGTATCTGTCCATCATCCGGTAAATCAGTATAAGAACTCAAAGCAGAAACCGGGTGGCAGGGACTGATTCAGAGACTGTGGAGGAGTGCTTCTTACTGGCTTTGCCCCTCATGGTTTGCTTAGCCCACTTCTTATATATGTCGGGACCAGGACCAAAATTCCACCAATGGCACCACCCACCATGAGGTGGGATTTCCCACATCAATCATCAATCAAGAAAATGCCCCAAGGGCTCTTCAGAAGCCAGTCTTGTAGGGAAATGTTCTCAATTAAGGCTCCCCTTTCCCAAATGACTTTAGCTTATGCCAAATTGACATAAAAGCAGCCAGAAGAGAGTGATTATTCTGATTAGATTAATCGATATGGGAACCCTCCTGTTGTGGATGACACCATGCCTGGGATGAGATCCTGGGTGGAATTAAAAGAAGAAAGTGCACCTAGCACAAGCACTCATTGCTCTCTGTTTCCTGGCAATGAGCAGCATGTGACTAGCTTGCTCAAGCTTCATTCCTGCCGTGGTGGATTGTAACCTTGAACATTGTGCAGATTGAAGCCCTTTCTTCCTTAAGTGGCTTTATCAGGGTATTTTATCAGGAAAAGAAACTAAACTATACAGGATTGCTGGACCCTAACTAGGAAACCTTAGAACACAATTTAAGACTCTGGTGGGATACAGATAAAAGGGTGAGATATAAAGAATGGACCGATCAGGAGCAGACCTTCTCATTTTTCCAATCATGATTATAAGCATTAAGCTAGGTCTTTTGCTTTGATCTAAACTTCTGCTCAGTATATTATAGATAATATATGTCATTCAGTGACTTCAAAAGACACATTGACATCCTTTGACTCAAAATGTAAGGCACCAGGTAGGTATTTTTGAGTTGCTGAAAACAGAAAATCTTTGAGTACCCATCACTTTCCTATGTCAACTTGTCTAATTGATTGAAGAAACAAAGAGAATATAGTAACTTAGATTTACCTCAAAGCACTAAAGTGTCTCTAATGAACTTGAAAAGAACATTGACAAAAAGAAAACCATAAAGTCATTGTTCAGTCTCATCATTCTTTCCAAATACTTTAATGTCCAAGTTGACTCTTCTAAAATCTGTGCTATTAGCTAATTCACCATTGACTTGCAAACCTGTTTGCTGGTGTATGATCTCAATGAGATCACAGTTGCATGATGTGGAAATGAATGTTTGTTTTTAGGGAAATGAAACTCATTGATGTCACTTAGTTTATGAAGTTGGAAGCCCTTCCTTAAAGTATGCCTTGCCTGTAAAAAACACTCCTTAAGAGAAAAACTCATGGAAATATTTCTCTCGAGCAATTGCTGCTTTAGGAACCTCAAACTTTTGCCAGAATGTTCAGACAGGTTGCTCTAGACATCGTAAAAGAAGTCAAATTGAGGATTGAGCTGTACTGGAAGACAAGAGTTATGTGTTAGAAGTCTCTAGCCTTGAAGATTTACCTCAAAGGAGGTGGTGAGAAGAAAGGACCTTCTGGGTGGAGAGCAATGTTCTATTCAATTGTTTCCCACCCACAAGCTG